GAAGAGACCTTCAGGTTATTCCCGCATTCAACAATCAAAGGAAGCTTGCTTAGCACGATTGTTGTTGTCTTGTCCTTATGCACACAAAGGACAAACCCATACCCTTGTAAACGTTGGTACAGTATGGAGCTGACTAGTCGACTCTATTGTCCACCAACCTTAGGTAAGGATGTCTACCCATGAATAGTGCTTTTTGTACTATTCACTGTGGAAAAGGACAAGTCTTCCTCTTAAGGCTTGACACGCACTCTAACCCTACCATATTGCATTAAATATTCATTTAATGCATTGGGTGTAAATAGAAGTGTTTCTTCTTCATGCAGAGTGTGCGCAACTCACTCTCTAAACCTAATTCTTACTTCAAGCATTTTCTAGCTTAAGTAAAAGATCTTATCTTTACAGCATTTCTTTTCTTGTTTGCTTAGAACTCGTGTGTAACCAGAGATTGTTTAGATAGGTTTTTATTACCTTATCTTTTCGGAAATAATCTTATAAAATCTGTATTGATCTTCTTTATCAATATATATTTTAAATTTGAAAATATTGTGTTTGTATTCATCCCCTCCCCTKCTACAAACTGTTTTACTATTCTTGTAGACCTTCAAGGGACCAACAGAGATTTTTAAGATTTAGGGAAATATTATACATCTCATAACCAGACAGATCAGGGCTCTAACTCGAAGCAACGACAGTTTTGAAACTCTTCATGAGTAAGGACGTTAGGAAACTTTAAAGGTTTGGGCTTCTGAGAGATACATGAAGGGAGAGTAAGGACCGTAGGGAAATGGTCCGAAGACCGGTAGGGGAGAAAAAAGACAGAGGCAGAARGGAAATGAGCAAGGGAATGAAAGTTACCCAAGACCCGGTAAATCTTTTTAAGGAGACCTCCCGTGCCATTGGGGTTCTTGAACCAGGTGAAGAAAAGACATTTGAAGTTGATATCCTCAACCTCAAGGTGATAGACACACTCATGGAAATCATCCATACCATGTGAGGGGCCAGATATGCTAGAAGAGCTATCTTTAGGGTCAAGAGCAGCATTGAAATCTCCCATGATGAACCATGGGGTGTCCTTGACGACATGCTTATGACTCTTAAGAGAGGCCCATAACTGGTGACAGGCGATATAATAAGTATCCGCATAGACAACAGAAAGSAAAAGACTCTTAGAAGTGTCTCGAATCTTAACCTGAAAATGCATCACTTCATTAGTGGCATTTAAGAGCATTATGTCGACCTGGACGGGATTCTAAGCAACAATGATACGGGTACCTCTTGGGCAAAGGGAGCCATTAGAGGTCCAGAACCAAGATCCAAAGACAATCTTATAGATAGGAGCAAGATTAGACAGAGGGGCACGAAACTCAAGAGCAGCGCAAATTTGGAAATTAGAATCCCGAATCTGGTCTCTTATAGCTTTTTTGGTGAGAAAGCTTACAAAGACCACGGGAATTCCACGAGGCAAAGTTCGTCATTGAAAAAGAGGGGTGGGGTTGGAGTCCATATGCTCGAGCTCCTGAGACGTCTTCGGGTCAACCTGAGAGGAGGAGAGATCGCGGTTAAGGAACCAGGCGGTGTCACCATCATCCGACTCCACGTCAAACAAATCTTCCTCATCAAGGAGGTCATCCTGATCAAGGGGATCATCCTCGATCTCAAAAGGAGCAGAGGGGATAGGGAGGGAGGAGGAGGAGGACCCAGGGTCTTTAGGAAAAGATGGGTCAGCAAGGACAAAAAATCGATTGGAAGAAGGAACGGGAGCCTTGGTTTGCTTCCTGGTGGGTAAAGGTGGGTTTGAGGGTTTAGGGATAGATGGCTAAGGATAGGGGGTCTAGGGGGGATGAGGGTNAACCCTTTGGGGGGGGTATAGCCAATGGAGGGAACTAGTTAGGGGGAGGGACTCTTATGAGGGGGTCGAAATTTCTTGCGAGGATGAGCCATCGCTTTTGACCTTGAAGAAACATTGATTTTCTTTCCACTCACCAATTGGGAGTGGGTGTCCTTTTTTAGGGGTTCCTCATGTCCGCTCAAAGAGATCCCTTTACCACGATGAGAGCTTTTGTTCTTCATGGTTTGAAAACCTTCACTATCAACTAGAGTTTGCTTTTCACTAATAGCTTTTCACCATTCTTTTCTAAAAATAATATTTGTTTTAAAATATATAGTTGACTCATTTTGGCCGAATTAGTTTTTTTTTWAAAAAAGTGTGAGTATATAGGATGAGATAAAGAAATTAAAAATCTTGGATTAAGGTTTAAATTGGTTGTCCCACACTAATGGAAAGAAAAATGTTTGACAAATATTAGTGATATATAAAAGGAAGAAACAATGATTAAAATATGAAATACTTGGATTGGTTAAATATAACTTTTAGTCACCTTATTTTTCTAAAAAATATTTGTTTAAAAATATAGAGTTGGCTCATTAGGCCATATCCTTTTTTGTAAAAAAAAATATTTGTTTAAAAATATATAGTTGACTCATTTACACTAAATCGGTTTTGCAGAAAAATATAATTTTATATAGGAGATAAAGAATATAAATGCAAAATTCTTTTAAGTTGGTCAAATTTAATTTTTGGCCATCTTACTTTTAAAAAAAAATATTTGTTTAAATATAAAGTTGTCTCATTCTGCCAAATGTTTTTTGCAAAAGAAAACTTATTATTATTATTATTATTATTATTATTATTATTATTATTATTATTATTACAAATGTTTATTAAAAGGGGAAGATAATAAATGAAATCAATAATGTCAATCAAAAATTGAGATGTTAATGTGGTTGTTTAACATTAGTGAGAATATAAATTAATAAAATAAGATGATGTTTATATGAAAAGAAGACGAGATCCTTTTCAAAACTAATAGGGTAGGGTTTGTGATAATTTATTGTGCTGATTCTTTTTGACCAACCTCATTTTAAAAAAAAAATCTTATAAAAGTGACGTACAAAGTTTTGTGATATTATCTCGGTTGTTCCATATTGATGATAATATAATCCATTGAAATGAGATGGTGTGTATATCAAGGGAGGAGGTGATCTCTTTCAAAATTAGAAGGGTTGTGATAATTTACAAAGTTCCATTTTGGTCAACCTCATTTTTTCTAGCAACTTTAAAAAATGACATATTCTATGATCAATAATATGCTAAAAGAACAACCAAAGATAATAAAAATTTATGTTATTTTAATACTCTCAAATTTTGAATAGTAATTTTTATGTGCAACCTATTTCAGACTTCGTTAAAAATTAAGTCGTAAAGTTAAAGTTAGCATTATAAGCTAAAATGCAAAATTGAAAACTCTAATTTTATGATGACAGTTCAGCAAACGGGATACTCTGGGTCCAGCAAAAGCCAACCCTACGGAGAAGAGCTGTTATACTGTGAGAATTGAGATGCATGGGCAAGTTTTACCTTCGGAAGCTCATCAATGGCTGTCTAAGCTCCATTAATCGCCTTTATTCTACTTCCACCACCAGAACTATTCAATATCTTCATCAAAGCCACCGCCAGAGAAATTTCTAAGTCTCTGTGCGCATCAATGAAGCATTCAGGACTTTTAGTTCAGGGGTATATTTGGATCCATCTCTCTACTCTTACCTCCTCAAATCATGCATACAAATCCACTCACTCTCACTTGTTCGACAACTCCATTCTTTGATAATCACGTCTGGCTGTTCTTCCACCGGGTTTATCACGAACCACCTGCTCAATACATACTTGAAACTTGGTCAGTCTCAGACCTCTGTCTCGTTGTTCGACTTAATGCCCAAGACATATATAATGTCTTGTAACATATTGATAGGTGGGTATATTCAAAGTGGCGACTTGGATAAAGCACTCAAAGTGTTTGCTGAAATGCCCATTCGAAATATTGCAACGTGGAATGCCATGGTTACGGGTTTGATCTAGTTTGAAAATCATGAGGAGGCTTTGAGACTTCTCTCAGAAATGCACGTTTTGAGTTTTTATCCTGATGACTTTACTCTTGGCAGTTGAGATGCTTTGTCAATTCAACGAATGATTGTTCTTGTAGTTTTCTGCCCAGTTGGGAAATTTTGGAGTATGGTTTATGCCTTTCTTACAACTAGAATTGATCGTTGGCAGCATGCTTCGAGGTTGTGCTGGTTTAAAGAGTTTAAGTGCAGGCCAGCAGGTTCATGCCTATGCAATTAAATCTGGGGTTGAAATCTATGTTGTTGTTGGGAGTTCACTTGCTCACATGTACATGAAGTCTACCAGAAGGAGAGGAGGTGATCAAAGGTATTCATGTTCATAGTGTAGCTGTTTGTAACACGTACACTTATCTCAGGGAGAGCTCAAGGTGGATGTTTTGAGGAAGCTTTAAATCAGTATTATATAATGAAAACAGCAGGATTCAAACCTAATAAAATTACGTTTCTAACTCTGCTCAGTTTGTGTTCGGAGTTGGAAACACTTGGATAAGGTCAGCAGATTCACGCAGAGGCAATAAAATCTGGGCCTAGTGCATCAGTTTCTGTCCTGAGTTCCTTGGTTAGCATGTATTCAAGATGCGGATGTTCGCAAGATTCTTTGAAAGCATTTTCAGAAAGTCTCAAAAGCTGACTGCAGAGATGAAATTGTTGGATTATAAGCCTGATACCGGTTCCATTTTGCATGACATGAATCTTGAAGAAAAGGAAGATGATTTGGTACACCATAGTGAGAAGTTGGCAATTGCTTTCGCTCTAATGAACACACCAGATTGTTTTCCGATCAGGGTGATGAAGAGTTTACGGGTATGCAACGATTGCCATGTTGCCATCAAGTACATATCTGCAATCAGAAATCAGGAGATCATTGTACGAGATGCTAGTAGATTTCATCATTTCAAACAAGGTCAATGTTCCTGTGGAGATTATTGGTAAGGATATTTCCATAATTTGAAACCTTAAAAAACTTCCCWTGATATCTTGGATATTTTCATTACATAATGTTGCATATTTAACATAGTATATCTATAGTACATTATGTTGTTCAATTTTGATCAAGTTACATAACTTCAACAGTTTCTAAATATCTTACAAGCCAAAATGTTGAACAGGATACCGAAAATATGCAGCTATTACAACAAACTATATATATTGTTTCATCAATCGATCATCTTGGTCGATTATATATGTAAGATTTTGCAAGGTACAAGTAGATCACAAATGCTATTGCACTAATACCAGCTAGAAACCAGTAGAAATAATCAAGGTGACCACGGTTCAAGTTATCCGAAATCCATCCATCTTCACCGTTTCCACCCGTGGTTTTATCGACCACCGAGATCAGGAAACTGCTAATGAAGCTACCAACACCGAATATACTGAGATAAAGCGCTAGACCGATGCTTCTCAACTCGCTCGGCACTTGATCGTAGAAGAACTCTTGCAGACCCACCATTGCAAACACGTCAGCAGCTCCCGTTAACAGATATTGAGGTATCAACCACCATATTTTCATCGGGATTGTTGCGTTTGGATCATCCACTAATCCGTATTCCTCTGCGATTTGAAGTCGTTTGGTCTCGACCAGTGCTGAAACCACCATTGAAAGAACGGAAATGAAGATTCCAATTCCGATTCTCTGAAGTACTGTTATGCCAGACGGTATTCTTGTAATGGATCTAGCGATAGGAACCAAAACACGGTCGTAGATGGGAATAAGGATGACGATGGTGATGCTGATGAACGTTTGTAGTGTGGCAGCTGGGATGTCAAAACTTAACCCGATTGATCGGTCCATGGTGACTCCTTGCTTGGTGAATAATGTGGAATATTGGGCAAAAACAACTGCAAACACTAGACAGCTGGCCCAGATAGGAAATAGTCTAAGAACTGCTTTGGCCTCATCCACCTCACCGGTGCTACAGATCTTCCCCTCTTCCTTTGATCCATCGGGTGAAACTAAGGCTTTGTTGAGAAATCTATGGCAATCCCAAAGATCATAATTATGTTCATGATGTGTGACCCAAGTGTTTTAGTCCAGATTACAAAACAGTCCATGGTAGTTTGAAAAGGAGAATCATCTATTGATGGCCTAAAATTGAAAATACATATTTTCATATATGTATGTAGAGTTGGATCATGCGAGAAATTTGAACTTTTACTAGAAATTGAGGACAAATGAAGATATTCTTATGTTTTATGAATGTTATATTATATTGTGTGAAGATTGGAACATCATATGACTTTCAATAGTGTATTGGAATGATGCATTCTATTGTCTAAATATTGTAACCTTCACACGATAGTTACAAAGGTATCTTCCCAATTCATATGATAAACCTTAACACAATACGAGGATACATCCTCTCTCTCTCATGCGTGAGAAGTGGTTGTTCTCACTAGAACCTAACCTGATGTGTGTATATATAGGTTGGGTTCCCGTGAAAAATGAAGTTTTTGGTGAAAACGTGAGAATATAAATCTTCATCCACCTGCATCTACTTGCATTTCACAAATCTTCATCTACCTATTTCTATCACCAATACTGAATTAACAAATTTATGCATGTAAAAGTGATCGAAGGTATGTAAAAGTTTATGAAGGCGACTGAAGGTTGATAAAGGTCCATGTTCTTTGTTGGCCTTCAGATGAAGGTCTGCATTTTTTTAGCCATCTAAAAAAGATCAGCTAATCTACAGGCTCAAATATATTCTCACCTTCTTACTCTCTCTCTCTCTCTCTCTCTCTATATATATATATATATATATATATCTGTGTGTGTATGGACGACCAACTGTCAAAGAAAATACGATGCAACAAACAGTAATGCCAACTGGTTTTTAAAATAATTACTCTTACCTGAACTGATGAGAACCTTGATGAGGCAAGGTTCCACAAGCTTCCTCTTCCAGGGATATTGATGAAGATGTAGTTCTGCGATTGCGGTATGCTCTAACAAACACCTGCCCAATTCTGAGAAAAGCGCCTTTTTCCTCAACTTTCTCTCCAAACCGATATGTCAGGGTTCCACCCAAGAATATAAGCAGTGCAACACTCATCATGATGCAAGGAATCCCAAATCCAAGACCCCAACTAAGGTTATCCTGAATGTAGTTAAGAACACATAGTGCCACCAATGGACCAGCGCACATTCCAAAATACCACCAGTTGAAGAATGAGCTTTTGGCTTTGCGTTCTTCTGGATTCTCCGTATCAAACTGGTCAGCTCCAAAAGCTTGAACACAAGGCTTGTGCCCTCCTTGGGCAAATGCCACAAGATATAGTGAAACGAAGAACAAAATAACTTGGAACCGAGGAGGAGAACATGATGTGTCACTTTCACAGTCAGAATAAGGAATCAAAGCTGAAAGAGTCAGCAGCCCAAGTGCCTGTTAATCATCCAGATCCCAATCTAAGTTAATTACAATTACTATTGAGTCCAACCTCAGCACCAATCTGGAAAGCATTTTATCAGGTATTCTAGATGCAAAGTACAGCATTATACTCAAGAGCAGGATTCTCCAATTATCTAATTGAATTTTCTGTGTACGTTCTATATAACATCATTTCTATTTCCTCAAACTTTTGGGCAAACCTTCTCTTTATTTTGCACTCTTTTCACAAGTCAATGGTCTTAATACTCTTTGGAGTATAGGTCATGTCTTCATATATGATAACCCCACCCCATGGAGCCCACCTCCAGGCGGGATATGTTGGGCTCATTTAGTTTGGTTTTGCTTCAGGCAAAAGAGGGGTCATCATATGAAGAACAATGTGCTCCCTAGTTAAGGATGATCTAAGAGGGCTGTATTACCAATAGTGTAGAACATTTTTATTAATATATCAAGTCAGATATTGCATCTTTTTAGGATAGAAGGAATAGAGAAGAAAGGGAAAGTGAAGAAATCAGGTATGCGAATGGGAATGATTGATAACTCTCTTCTTAAGCACTTCATCACAATAACCCTTTCATATTTATATGACTAATTCTAGAGTCCTAATACCACTAGTTAAGCGACTAATGATGGCAATTTACCGTAAAGGTGACACTACCACTACCTGCTACGAGGAGTTTCTGCTTTAGATCAAATTCGCTAGTAAATACTAGACAAATGGGCTTTCTACATATGCATCGAAAGTACAAAATTTTAAACAATAGAGTGGGAATGAAACATAGCATTTAGAAGAAATGGAATCTCAAGAATGTTTCAACACACCACATGTGGGGTGTATTAGATGAAATGAGCATTTTTTACAAAAAACTTTGACTAATATGGCATTCTAAAGATGTATGCATATATATGTCCAATTCCATGGATCAACAGAGAGGCTAAGCTTATTCACACACTCCATAACAGCATGCTCATTTGTGCTTAAGGAGGAAATCCTACAGTGAAGAGGTGTATTCGTGTGCCTTCCACATCCTTGGTGTTATTCAAGGCGTGAGGCACAAATGTCCACCAGGGGCCTAGGTTCGTATCTCAACCAAGGGAGACTGATGAATTTATAACACATATATACATAACTCAGCTGAACCTTGGTTAATTATCATAGATTTTGCCATTTTGATACACCTACTTAGAGCTTTGACCAAACTCAGGATGCGAAGATGACTAACCAGAACATAGAGTAGAGACGCAATAATAATGGTGCGATATCTACCCAGAAAAGCATCAGCAACAAAAGCGCCCAAGAGAGGAAGAAGCGACGCCGTTCCCGACCAGGCATTCACATTTTCCGCCGCCGTAGCCGTCGATTGGCCCAACGGTCCGGTCAAATACGTGATTAGGTTGGAACTTATTCCATAGTATGCGAATCTCTCAGCTACTTCCACACCTGTACACAACCTCAAAGTCTTTCAATCTTCGAATAAAATCCGCAAGTAAGAGATATAAAGTTACCAATTATGAAGTAAGCGGATCTCCAGCCACCAGATTTGGATCTGAAAACTGGACGACCTTTGTAGTCAATGAATCCATCAACGACCCCGTCTATCAATGGAGTCTCAACTTCAGAAAAGTTGGAGGCGGAGCCGGTGGCCTCCATGTCGGCGTCAAAAGGTTCTGACTTCACTGCACCAACAACACCCACTTTCGCTAACAAGTAGCGGGAGGATAATGGTCAGTTGGTCACGGTTAGCAAAGGGAAGTTGAGTGAAATATTGATTTTTTTTAATCAATTTCAAAGAAATAGCAACTTATTTTATTTATTAAAATAAATCACGATTGTAATTGTAATGTTTAGTTTTTATTATTTGTGTCTATCGGTATAATACGATTTTATGTGGTTTTGAAAAAGCGATAATATTTTTGTTTTTAAATGAAATATAAATTTTAAAAAAAATCGATATTAGTATCAAATTAACTATTTAATAGTTTTCGTTTTTTTGTAACTTTTTTAATTTAATTTTTTATTATAATTTAATTTAAATTAATAACAAAGTAATTTATTTTTCGTTTAACAATATAATTTTTATAAAGATAATAATTAAATATTCTGTTAAAACTTAATGATTATTTTAATTATATTTTAAATTTTTATACTTAAAATAGATATTTATTTTGTATTTGATTATGTTTATCTGCAGTTAGTTACACGAATTTAAAAATAGAGCTTTAATAAGTTGTACTTACACAAAATTACTTGTAATATTGAATTTTAAGTAATATGCATCAATAAACAGTACTTTATACATAAAAAATGGTTTTTAAGAGTTTTTTGTCAAATGCTTTATAATATTAGTATAAATTATAATTTTATTTTTTATTATAAAAATATATTTTTAAATTATTTTTTATTAAAAAAATGTTGTACTTAATAATCTACTCGTTATAGTAAACTAGAAAGGTATCCGTGCAATGCATCGAGACACATTTTCATTTCAATGTTTCGTTTTATTATTTATCCATGTCGATATAAATACGATTTTATGTGGTTTTGAGAAAGCGATAATGTTTTATTTTTGAATAAAATATAAATTTGATATCATATAAAATTTGCAAAAAAATATATCAAAATTAGTATCAAATTAACTATTTAAAAGTTATTGTTTATATATTTTTTTAATTCAAATTTTTTATTATAATTTAATTTAACTTAATTTAGGTTTAACAATATAATTTTTTATAAAAATTATCATTAAGTATTCTGTTAGAACTCAATGATTATCCTAATTATATTTAAGATTTTTTATATTTAAAATGAGATATTTATCCTGTATTTGATTATGTTTATCTGCAGTTAGTTACACGAATTCAAAGATAGAGCTTTAATAAGTTGTACTTACGCACAATTTACTTGTAATCTTGAATTTTAAGTAATATGCATTAATAAACAGTACTTCATGCATAAAAAATGGTTTTTAAGAGTTTTTGTCAAATGTTTTATAAAATAACTAGAAGAGTACTCGTATAATACAGCAAGATACATCTCGATTTTAATGTTTATTTTTGTCTTAGTTGATGTTATAATATAGTTTTATGTGGTTTTGAGAAAACGATAATATTTTTATTTTTGAATAAAATATTAATATGAAGATATATTATAAAAATTAAAAAAAGTTACTGATATTATCATCAAACTAACTATTTAAAATTTCTCATTTTTTGTGTATTTCTTTAACTCTTTTTTTTTAATTTATGCTTTAATAATATAATTTTCTATAAAAATAATAATCAAGTAGTTTKTTAGAACTCAATGATTATCTTAATTATATTTTATATTTTTTTATATTTAAAATAAGATATTTATCCTCTATTTGATTATGTTTATCTGTAGTTAGTTACATTGTTGTTCCCTTAAAATCAATCTTCAAGTAGACATCAAGAAATCCATGACATCTCTAATATATTATATTAAGAACATATGAGAGAGATGAGAGGAAAAGTTAATCTTCAAAGTTTTGGTCAAATCTCTTATTACGTATCAGATCTATACTATCTTATAAAACATTTGGCTAAAACTCTTAAAAACTCTTAAAACTCTTAAAAACTTCTAAAAACTCTTAAACCCTTCCCATATCTGAATTCGTGTAG